AAACAGAGCAGTGGTATTATTACTTATCCTGCCCAAATAAGCAGGACCACAGAAAATCTTACCAAAGACAACCCTTCAGATTCACACTTCATTGTCATCAACGCAACAAAGGTGTACATTTCCCCCCTCCCAAGCTCTCTGTAACAGCTAGGCGAAGACAGGGATAAGAGTACAAACTCATGACAGGTGTAAACCCCAGGGCCAGATCAAACACATTTAAGGTGCCTTGCAGACCCTTTTGATTGGGGAACCTCCTCACAGGGAGTTGTTCAATCTCTCCCAGCCCATGCCTATCCTTACAATTATGAGAGGGAATGCAGAGTCAGGGACAGGAAGCAGGCAACACGCTGGTAGCAGTATCCAGGCAGAGGCTAAGAGTTCTTGAAGCAGCCTCCGTCAAGGGCAGCAGCAGCAACTAAGCAGGGTGCCTGAGGCAGAAGGTAGTTCAAGAGGAAAGGACCCCCTGCCCAAAACACACACACCAGACATCAACTTTCACCACTCCCCGGCTGTCGTGTCTCACTAGGTGGTCTTCACAAGGCCTATGGGCATCTCCAAAGGGTCCAGCCCACGAGCAGTCAGGGCTTACATCTTGTCATTGTCACAAAGCACAGCTTATTAACTCACCATTGTACCGTCTGGACCAGGGGTTTTCAAACTTCATTGCACTGTGACCCCCTTCTGACAACAAAAATGACTACATGACCCAAGGAGTGGGGACTGAAGCCTAAGCCTGCCTGAGTCCTGCTGCCCCGGGTTGGGGGGTCAAGGCCAAAGCCTGTCCCCACCACTCTAGGTGGGGGGCTCAAAGCAAAAGCCCAAGGGCTTCAGCCCCAGGCAGGGAGCCTGTAACCTAGGCCACACATCCCCGGGCTGAAGCCCTCGGGCTTGGGCTTCAGCTCTGGGCCCCAGCAAGTCTAAGCCAGCTCTGGTAACCCATTAAAACAGGGTCGTGGCCCACTTTGGGGTCCCAACCCACAGTTTGAGAACTGCTGGTGTCACAGCTGATTCCCCACTCTGGCACTTCGAGTGCAGAAGGTGGGGGCCCTCAAGGATTCTAAAAATTAATACTGGCCACTCCAGACTTGTATTAAACTTCCAAGGTTACAGCTTCTCTCTGACCTTGGATGGGTAGATGCTGCCACCACCCAAGTCCAAAACCCCTTTGAGAACCCAGGAAGGAGCACTTGGGAATTCCTTCCTGTGGGGTACCCTCAAGCCCTTTCACAAACAGACCCCTCCGGGGAAGAGCTGAGAAAGAAAAACAAAGGAAATCAGCTGTTGCCACCAGCTAATTAAACAACGTGCACAAACCTCTTAGGACACAAAAATCCAATCCTGTTCTTAAAAAAGATAAATTTTATTAAAAACCAAAAGAAAGAAAATACATCTGGGAACTTGGGCTATTGCTAGTTCCCAGAGCAACTACAAGGATTAAGCATCAAGAATAGTTTTTTGAGGTCCAGCTTAAAGGTTACAAGCGAAACAAAAGCATCTGGGGTTAGCACAGAGGAGTCCACAAGCCATAAAGAAATAAAAGGGATAAACCTAATCGCGTCTTCCTAAACATTTCCTGATCTACTTACATATCTGAGGTTTCAAATGAGTAGTTTCTAGGTATGATTCTGATGATTTTTTCATACCTGGCCCCAAGCTTCTTACAGCATAGTTCTGCCCTGTCCGCCTCTCCCCAGAGAATAACAGACAGACAGACAGACAAAAGGGGAGTCTTTGTTTCAATTTTAAGAAGTTCTAGCCTTCCCATTGGCTCTTTTGGCCAGGTGCCCACTCACTTCTTTTTACCTATGCACAGCAGTGAGACTTTTTAACCAGGTAGAGCAATTAGAGAACAGCTACTAAGAGGGATTTTATAGCTCCTGGCTGGCTGGGTGTCCATTAAAGGGAGCTACCCCCTCCTCTTCATTTATCACAGTTAGTCTGGATGAAGCACAAGCAGGCACATATGCATAACTCTGCTTTCTTGGGGAGGCCCTTCCCAAGATGAGGCCTCCAACAACACAGGTTTCCCAGCCACGGTGAACTGGCCCTGGAAGGAGGAATTATTTACGGTGGTGCTCAGGGGATGTAATTTGGAGCAATGAGATTAAGCTGAAACAGAACATTGAGGTTGCATAACAGGAAATAATTCCAGACAGACATCAGGTAAGTAGCAGAACTTGAAGGCTCGCCCCTTTTCTCTTTAAGCATAGACTAAATGAACCCTGAAATAAATGTGCTGTTGGGAACAATCTTGCACTGGCAGGGGGATGGAATAGGTGACCTAGGTCATTTTATGTAGACAAAGGTGCCACTATCAGAGAACTGAGACTTTGTCAATCAAGAAGGCCAACGAAGCAGCAGAAATCTGATGATGATGCGCGGAACCACCTCATTCCCATCATACTCTCATCTTCAGCGGGTTTCTTTTCTGTCTTTTCTTCCTGTGTGCAGGTCACAGCCTGAGCTAGAAATGTAGCGCCTGCTCTGATCTGGCCTTTACTGGTGTAAATCAGGTGTAAACCCATGCAAGTGAATGGAGGGCAAAACTGGAGTGAGGTCAGGTTCAGATCACTAATATTTAAGGGTCAAATTATACTAGTCTTACATGAATCAAGCTCCCGTCACATAAGAGAAGACCAAGTTTCCAAAGCGCTCAGAGCCAGATTTTCAAGTATTCAACCACCACAATGAAAAAAGACCTCAGCTCCCATTTAGGGGCAGAAGTGCTCCGCCCCAGTAGCTCCCGTTGTGATATATATCTAGCAAGATTTTGTAAAAACAATTCAGCATAAAATATGGTTTTTGAAAATCTGGCCAAGATTCCTGAGTTCTGAGCCCTTGTGGAAATGTGGCCCTGTAGGCCAATTGCATCCCATGGTCTGGAATGCAAAATACAGTCCTAGGTAAATACTGTCTCTCTCCCCCCACTGCTTATGGGAGTGAGTGAGACTAGGGGTCCTCTCACGCCCTCTGCTATGTGAGCTCATATAGCACTTGCTCCATCACGTGTATTGAAAGGCAGGAATGGACCCTGTGAAAATCAATCAGCAAATGGGAGTAACCAATGCAGTACTCTGAGTGAAGGAGCATCAGAAAGGAAGGGGAGAGATAGGAAAGAATCAAAAGAGTTTTCACGGTTCTATTTGTTTTTTAAAATTAACCTCCCCAGAAATCCCATCCGAAGCACAGAACCAGCTGACCCAAGGGACTGATCCTGGGAGCCTGGATCAACATTTCACCTTGAAGTTGGCAGCTTTGACTCCAGTCTAGGTTGTTAGTTAATGGAAGTCATTAACAGCTGCTGGCTGGTCTATGTGAAATGATTTGGTAGCCACAACCACCACCACCACCATGGATGGCAGCCTAGAAAGAGAAGCTGAGGATTGGCAAGGAGACTGAAATATCACCTCCCTGCAAGAGGTGATTCAGCTAGGTCAGAAATTAGGAATGTCAGGCCAGCAGTGCTATTGTGTATGATGTGCCCAATCTGTGGCACAATGACAATTCTTATGCCCCCTATTCTGCACCTTCCAACAGCAATCAAATTCTTGGAGGAGGGAGGGAACTGTAAAATGAGAGTGAAGTGAGGTAGTAACATGTCTTGAGCAATGATTCTGTGTAAATCCATGTTGTATGCAGAAATAATTAGGATGATTTTTCCTGAGGCCAGATCTCTGCTCTCATTCCTACATCTAATTAATGGCTGGTAAAAAATGTATATGTAATTGCCCTTATTAAATTCTGCTGAATAGCTGGAGGTGGTAATGAGTAATCCTCTATGTGAAGAACATGGGGTTCCTGAGCATTTACTTTATCTGTTAATGTAAAACTGCTCTGCAAGCTATTTTTCCCCCAGACATGTTGAAATTTACTATCGTGTGTTGGTTACCTCAAGAAAGCATTTTAACTCTGAAAGCCCCATGGACTGGCTCCAGCATATGCTCCAGAAGTGATACGCCAGTTTTTAATGGGCTGTTTGTCCACGAAGTAGTGGGAAGGTAGAGCCAGGACTGGCTTAACTAGCGCATGAAGTTGCTTTCGCTCAGCTTTAAAAAGAAAACATTTGTACCCCTTTCTTTTTTAAACAAAATAAATGCGAATTTTATGAGCAAACTAGGAAAATATCAGTTGTTGCCGATTGGACTTATACAGGCTGACTGATTTTTGCACAGTTTTATAGTGAATAGGATGCAGATTCTGGAGATTGCCATGTTCCTTCTAGTTAAATGGACTGACTTCTATAACAACCACCATGGTTGTACCCTTCCACCACCACCCCGCCTCCCACCCCACCCTCTGAACACTATAGTAAGCAAGTATTATGGAAAAACTTCTTCCAGGGTAAATCCTATGCTGCAACTAAAAGACAAAGATCTAGGTGAAGAATGCTGTACACACAGCGTTTATTTCTTTTGCCACCCCTCAGTGACATTCACAGCTTCTGTCCTGCCCCAAGCTGTTTTTTCCATAACTGCTATTTTCTTCCATCAGCCTACATATCAAGCCATCAGTGTTTGCAAAACTACATAAATAACAGTCCTCTTAAATACTGCCCTCTTCTATAATGTGCACCTCAACAGAGACCTACACACTGTTCCTTCATTTCTGAGATTCCACAGTCAGCTTTTTCCAGCTCTCCTGCAAATGGCAAGATTGTACAGAAAATGCTTATTGGAAAGGGACTGAAACACACACAGAGTGTTTGGATTCAGCAGCTGCATCTTCCCCTAGCTCTCCTCTCCCAGCACTGCCGCTTGCCACTGCATTTCCCTGCCCTTTCCCTTGCAATCCTACCGGAGCAAACAACAACTCTGTATCATTACTCTAAATTTGCCTTTTTAGTAAACCCCTGCTGTTACCCCTTTGCAATTACCATTGGGGAGAGTTTTAAAAAAATAACCAAGGCTTTAAGATCTGGACTCCAAAATTCACAATCAACTTTCACCCAAGCCTGAAAAGTATGAAGTACCAAGACCGGTTGTAAAGAAGAATTATTTTACCTTCCACATCAGTAGCAGGCAGAAAGCTGAGCCCAGCAGGACAGCAGAAGGCTGGAATGCAGCGTGACAGGAGAGAGCATGAGGTGTGTTGTCTTTGCCTCCTCACATCCTTCCAAGAGGAGTGAGTCCAGTGTGTGTGTGTGTGTGAGTGAGAGAGAGAGTGTTCGTGTTCACATTCAGAGGACAGCAACAGGAAATGACATGAAAAACTAAACCAAGCTCCAATCCAAACTTGGCCCCTGACATAAAGGAGGGGGCTATTTTCCCCTCATTAACCAGCCAGAAAATCTGCTGACTGGAAAAAAAAAAGGCATCAAGTTTTATTAAAGAAGGGAGTAAGTGGGTGGGAGAGAAAACTACCACCAGAGTTTTATCTTTTTGAGCAGGAACAATGGGATGACATTATATATTAGTAGCCAAATTCCCTCCCCTGGCCTAACCCTCTTGTCTCCAGTGGCTTTATGCCAGGGAAGAGCTAAACCCTAGCTACAGCTCGTGCCTAACGGCTGCACAGAACAAAGAAAGTTTACAAGTTGTCCCTGAGTGTCACCTACGCACTGCAAGAGCCTGGATGATTCTGTCGGGGTTGCATGCAGTCATTCAGAAAGATGCAGCATCACTTCCAGCTCAGAACACATCAGGGCAGGGGAAGAGATAACAGGCAGGGCTGTCTGGGCTATTTTGCTTAGCCTAGCAAGAAAGGCTCTGCAATCACATACAGGGTACACAGGGCCGGTGTGAGCATGGAGTGTAGCTAAATATCTGGCCAGCTGGGCAAAATGGCTTTAACATCACACAACCTGTGGAAATGAAAAATTATTCATGGCACATGCTCAAACCATTGCCTAATGGATCCTATATGCTGTTTCACTTAGCAAGGCTGGGATATATTTTGTCTAGATTTCAATTCAGTATTAAGTATCTTTCCTAGACACTCTCTCTGCTACCCCCTCTCTAGTTTACCACTGTCCCTCCACCATCCAAGCTTGTAGTTTGTGGGTCATCCATGACTTCTCTATCTCATCATTTCTTCCCTTCCAGTCTGTTCTGACAGCTACAATAATCTTGCAAACCCTGATCAGCTTCTCTGATATCCTCTGCACCTCAGGAGCTCCAGGGGGCATTTATTATCCATTATTATTATTATTTATTATTAGAATTCCTGTAGTGCCTAGAAGCCACAACCAAGATCAAGGCCCCATTATGTTAGGTGCTGTACATACACAGTGAGAAAAAGTCCCTGCCCTAAAGAGTTTATAGCAGTGTTTCTCAAATGGTGGGTCACAAACATTCCAGATGGGTTGTCATAGCCAGATTAACCCAACCCTGGGCTAGGGATTAGGGTTGCAGTGCCGGGGCAGAGGGTACATATATGTAATAGAGGGTTACCAAAAAAAAAAAAAAGACAAAATGCAGTTGGTGGGTCACCTTAGTAGAAAGTTTGGGAACCACTGTTTTTACAGTCTAGGCACACTTCCTCCTCCTACACTAACAACAAGAATTTTTGCTTTAAACTGGGGATTTATCAGTTGGAAGTGACAGAAGAAGATAAAGACTTTGCGTACAACTGAGGTTAAACTAACAGGCCTGTAGTTTCCTGGATCACTTTTTTCCCCTTTCTTCAATATAGATACTATATTTGCAATTCTCCAATCATACAGTATAACGCCCCGAGTTTACAGATTCATTAAAAATCCTTATTAGCCTTGCAATTTAGGTGCCAGTTTCTTTAATATTCTTGGATGGAGATTATACAGGCCGGTCGATTTGGCCCCATTAAACAGTTTGAGTTTGGCTTCCACCTTGGATGTGATAATTTTTGCTTGCATATCCTCATTCTCTTTGGTATGGCTTGTGCTCCACGGGGACTGCAATTGAGCCTGGACTCTCTAGGAGTGTGGGGGCAAAGAAAGAGTTCTTTTACCTTTCTCCACCCTGAGAACCTGCCTAGAAGCTAGGCACAAGCTGGGCCTGTATATGAAATTATTTGTTTTTTTTTCAAATTGTGTTCTATCTCTCAAATTAAAGATGGGTCTGACGCAAAATCCTGGTCCATTCTTCACTAAACTTCATAGAGTCATAGATTTTAAGGCCACAAGGGACCATTATGATTATCTAGTACAATTTCCTGCATACCAGAGGCCAAAGAACCTCACCCAGTGATTCCTGCATTAAGACTTCTGGTTGAGCTAGGGCATATCTTTTAGAAATGGACACCAAACTTGAATTAAAGACAGTAGGTGATGAAGAATCCACCACAGCCTTTGGTAATTTGTTCCAAGAGTCAATAACCCATACAGTTAAAAATTTGCACCTTACTTCTATTCTGAATTTGTCTAGCTTTACATTCCAGCACTTGGATCTTGTTATGCTTTTGTATCAGAAATCTCCCCAGGTAGATACTTTTAGAGTGTGGTCAAATCACCTCTTGAATAAACGAAATAAACTGAGCTTCTTTAGTCTCTCACTACAAGGCAGGTTTTCCAGTCCTCAGATCAGTCTTGTAACTCTCTTCTGAACCCTTTCCAATTGGTCAATATCCTTTTTGAAGTGTGGACACCAGAACTGCACACAGTATTCCAGTAATAGTCTTATTGATGCTGTAAACTTCAGGGCATTTAGGTTTGTATCCAGTCAGTCAGTTGCACTCAAATCTAAATGACTTGGAAGCCTCTCTGTTTCAGCTCTACGTTGATGTATTTGCTAGTGTGTTAGCAGAGCTGAGTAAAGGATTTATTGGCATGGTATCATTTTACTCCAGACTTCAGCCTTGAATAAGAACACTTTAAGAGTTGGCATTTATACAATGTCCATCATGTGCTTTGATCTAAACAAGGGTCTCGACCTCCATAACCCTCAGTATATTTCTTTGGCTCTTGTGAATGACTTGAGCACAATCTTCAGGTATCAGCTGTCACTTCCTTAACAACAGGTTATTTTCAATTCATCAATGAAATATAAACAGAGCCCTGTACTGAGTTCAAATAAACTCACAACAGTTACCTTCTCAAAACAGATGTCTATGACAGGGGCCGAAAACTGTGTCAGATTTCACATCAAGACTTCTGGTCTCTCAAGAACAGGCAGAGAAGATATGTTTGTTCAGCTAGCTGAGAAACCTACTATTACTTCCAGTTTAATGGCCAAATCCTGGCTTGACCTATACCAGTAACTCCATCAAAGTCAATGAATGAAACTGCCCAGAGTGCAAATTAGGGGAGAACTTGACCCTCAATCAAGTTCTCAATGATTTTATAAACAATGGAAAGCAACAGAAGAGGAATTAGACTCCAGCATAGTATTTTATAGTAAAGGATGAGCCTGAACCAGCTCCAAGAATCCCAATACCCCTGAACTTCATGATAGTTCAGATCTGGATTTAATTTAAAATAATAGAAGTTGTAGGTGGAAAAGCTCTAAGGTGGAGCATCCTGCTCCAAACCTAGTGCCTCCTCCAAGATGGATCCAATGCTGACAATTACATGTGGCTCCTAGTCCGGGAGTTAATAGCTATTTCTAGACTGGTGAGGCTTTGGGGTAGCCTGCCAAACAGGTGCTTATTTCCCACTTAGACTTTAAATAAGCACTAACTAGACTCAACACTAATGTACTCAACAACTAATGTACTCAATGCTTTTTTTGCCTCTGTCTTCACGAACAAGGTCAGCTCCCAGACTACTGCACTGGGCAGCACAGCATGGGGAGGAGGTGACCAGCCCTCTGTGGAGAAAGAAGTGGTTTGGGACTATTTAGAAAAGCTGGACGAGCACAAGTCCATGTGGCCAGATGCGCTGCATCCGAGAGCGCTAACGGAGTTGGCAGATGTGATTGCAGAGCCATTGGCCATTATCTTTGAAAACTCATGGCGATTGGGGGAAGTCCCGGACAACTGGAAAAAGGCTAATGTAGTACCCATCTTTTAAAAAGGGAAGGAGGAGGATCCTGGGAACTGCAGGCCAGTCAGCCTCACCTCAGTCCCTGGAAAAATCATGGAGAAGGTCCTCAAGGAATCAATTCTGAAGCACTTAGAGGAGAGGAAACGTGATAAGGAACAGTCAGCATGGATTCACCAAGGGAAAGTCATGCCTGACTAATCTAATTGCCTTCTATGACGAGATAACTGGCTCTGTGGATGAGGGGAAAGCGGTGGACGTGTTGTTCATTGACTTTAGCAAAGCTTTTGACACGGTATTCTCCCACAGTATTCTTGCCAGCAAGTTAAAGAAGTATGGGCTGGATGAATGGACTATAAGGTGGATAGAAAGCTGGCTAGACTGTCAGGCTCAACAGGTAGTGATCAATGGCTCCATGCCTAGATGGCAGCCGGTATCAAGTGGAGTGCCCCAAGGGTCAGTCCTCGGGATGGTTTTGTTCAATATCTTCATAAATGATCTGGAGGATGGTGTGGATTGCACCCTCAGCAAGTTTGCAGATGACACTAAACTGGGAGGAGAGGTAGATACGCTGGAGGGTAGGGATAGGATACAGAGGGCCCTAGACAAATTGGAGGATTGGGCCAAAAGAAATCTGATGAGGTTCAACAAGGACAGGTGCAGAGTCCTGCACTTAGAAAGGAAGAATCCCATGCACCGCTACAGACTAGGGACCGAATGGCTAGGCAGCAGTTCTGCAGAAAAGGACCTAGGGGTTACAGTGGACGAGAAGCTGGATATGAGTCAACAGTGTGCCCTTGTTGCCAAGAAGGCCAATGGCATTTTGGGATGTATATGTAGGGGCATTGCCAGCAGATCGAGGGACGTGATCATTCCCCTCTATTCAACATTGGTGAGGCCTCATCTGGAGTACTGTGTCCAGTTTTGGGCCCCACACTGCAAGAAGGATGTGGAAAAATTGGAAAGAGTCCAGCAGAGGGCAACAAAAATGGTTAGGGGACTGGAATACATGACTTATGAGGAGAGGCTGAGGGAACTGGGATTGTTTAGTCTGTGGAAGAGAAGAATGATGGGGGATTTGATAGCTGCTTTCAACTACCTGAAAGGGGGTTCTAAAGAGGATGGATCTAGACTGTTCTCAGTGGTAGCTGATGACAGAACAAGGAGTAATGGTCTCAAGTTGCAGTGGGGGAGGTTTAGGTTGGATATTAGGAAAATCTTTTTCACTAGGAGGGTGGTGAAACACTAGAATGTGTTACCTAGGGAGGTGGTGGAATCTCCTT